CCATTGCAATCAAACGGACCTTACTGCCTTTTCCATTTCCTTCAACTTTTCACACCTCATTTTCTCCATATCTATCTTCTTCATCTCATCTCCACACCTACTTTCCTTTCCTCTGCATTCCCCTTCAAAATAACCCTTGGCTTACTTGCGTTTGATTTTGTTTTGGACAATGGGGTTTGTATCCCATATTCTTTTGACTTCTAGAGAAGGGTGAGGGTGTCATTGGGTTCTCTTGTTCGTGAACGCAGCGGTGGGGACAATTTCGGTTGTTTCTCTGTGCTGCAGTTCTGATGTTCTTCACATCGAATCAAGGTCACAAATGGCTTATATTTATAAGAAGTTGGGGTTTAGGGGTTTTGCAATAGGGAATTAGGGCTATTTTATGGATTTCCTTATGTGTATAACCAACGGTGGGTTTTACGATTTCCAATATGTCAGGTAATTATGCTTGCTCGATTTAATGCGTTTTACAATTTTGTACCCAGCTGAGCATAATCATTTACGAATTAATTGTTTGGTAATCCCGAAACATAAGGATTAAGAACATGTTGGCTTGGTTGAGAATTACCATCATGTTTTGATTAAATTTGTGGACAAAAATAGCGGAAAATCATATTACAAACTTCGATGTTTATGGTGCTTCATTTAGATGTGACACTATTGCAATATTATTTCACAGTAGTTGCTTGTTATGTCTCTCTTACAGGGTAAGGTTCTTTTGCAGTTATCTTGCTGTAATTTGAATATTTTCTCTTACATGTTTGTGGATCCTTTCATTCGATAATCACATGGTCATTTTTCATTAATGCAATACCTGCAGTAGTTGGGTGTATTTATATTGGATGATTAATGTTCTTATTTGGAAAGAGTTTTCTCGTATGAGTTGGCTTCTCGGAACTGTCCAAAGGTGCAGTCAAAATTAAACTGGTTAAATTAATACAGCAACAGTTTTCCCAGAAAATGTTTGGTGTCTTAATTAGAAAATTGCTGGTGTACGACAATCTTTCTTAACATCCTTGTTATGGGTATCAAAATAGTCGGCAATGTTATAAGAACACAAGAGGTTGAAATAGTCTAATAAGCAACAGGTCTAAAATATCGTAACCAAACAAGTAAAACACGAGGCTACGTTGTTCTGCATCATTAAGGATTATCAATATTATATTGATGTATTCACTGACCTCAATTACTCACATCAACAGCATCATCCATTCTTCATGGGGCTTCATTTAGCTATGCGTCAAGCCCGGGGTGGATCCAGGAATTTTTCGCGCACGGGCTAAAATTTTAAAGTCAATGCCTACAAGGCAATAACAACAATCATTATGCCAACAATGCAACATTTCAACATAACAACTTAGACAAGTAGGCGAAAACGCAAAACATTCAATTCAATATTTTACCGATAAGGCAATAAGCAGAGAGATGATCAACTTGACTCACTAGGGTGTATTCAAGCTTTTGTTTTTCCTACGTGTCTTGTGGAATTAATCTTGTTCACACTTGCCAAAATCCCCCGTTGACAATGAAGAAGAATTCTGCATTAGATTTTAGAAATAACTTTTTCTACATCAACCACAACAATCGATGAAGTCACAAATTTACTATTATCCCCAACTCCAGGAGGCAAGAATCGATCAATTTGAAAAACAAAATAAAACAAGAACTCAATTAGGAAAATGCAAATGAATTAAATAGAGTAAAGTTAAAAGGGGGAGAATAGAGTATTTTATAGATAAATTCGCACTTTCTACAAGAAAGTAATCATTAACTGCTTCTAAAGCAATTGGAATATAGTAGTAACTGTCAAATTAGACTCACAGCATAACAACAGTTCATCAAATACATGACCACACAAAGGGAAAAAAATGAAAATTCAAAACACCCACGAGGAAAAAAACTATAGTATTCATTCCAAAAGTAAAGCTTAAGACTTCTCCAGAATCTCCACAATCTCACACCAATAGAAGGCCCACCGACCCCACCCAATCAATCTGTTCTCTTTTCCATTTTCTTAATTTTCTCAACAAGTTTTTAGCTTTCTCTATTTCAAATATATCAGATAATAGACAAAATAACCAGAAAGCCTACAGTCCTACTAAAAATTTTTGAAATTTTTTGACCTAGATAAATGTATTGTACAGAATCACCAGGTTGAAATATTGAGAAATGAGAAGTCTCATGGATTAATTAGCTGATGACTCAACTGTGGGTAGATTATCTTACCTTGTTCCAGGAGGACCGCATGGTTGTATTATTGAGAAATGAGAAGTCTCATGGATTTATTAGCTGTTGTCTCTACTGTGGGTAGATTATCTTTCCTTGTTCCTGGTGGACCGCAGTCAGCACTCAACCGGATTGCCGAAAGATAAGGACTTGGGTTCCAGCCTTCTAGGAGTTGGGAATAAGCCAAGAATCGGCCACCAAAACAGACAAAATCAAATGGCATACCCTAACAAAGCAATCGTGAAATTTGAAAAGGGAAAAAATCATACTTTTAAGTATAGACTATTTCAAAAATAAGAAAACAACTTTTAAATTTCAAAAATCAGATATTTGACATATACCCCTACCGTTCCGACGACTATTCTCGTGACCGATCACAAATTTATATAATATGGTCACAGATTCACAATTTAGTTAGTCACATATTATTTTTCGGTCACAAATCATAATTTTTTACGTCACATTCTCATCTTTGTGAGGTTGTTCATCTTTTCTAATCTTCCGCTACGTCAGTCTTCGAATCCTCTTTATTAATAAATCTTTAATGCAAATCAATATTATGACAATATGTATGCATTCTTGTTGATCAATGTTCCTAAATTAATTAAAAGCAACCTCTCCATATCAATTAAAGCTATCACTTCATGTAACATTTATATATCTCTACGAAAGATGCAAAACATGCATTAAAAATGTTAGAATATTTATAGAAATCGTGCAATATATAGAGGTATATCTCTATCTCATATTGAATGTTTCAATAATTGTTATAAAGTGTTATCTATCCTATTGTTTCTCTTGAAATCAATAAAATTCACAATCAATCCAATTATTGATCGAGTAATTGAAAAATCATTAAATCATATAACAATCATCCAAAAATAAACACTTATTGGATGTCAAATTGTCAAATTTATATTAAAACAATATAATAAGGGTTCATCAATGTCTTATTAATTAAAACCCTAGCCTAACAATATAAAATCACAAGAAAACATGTTTAATTGGAAGAATATAACCCGAAATTTGGATTGATGAAGGAGAAGAAGATGGATCTTGAAATTTTGAATCTCTTCAATGGTTTCTTGATAAATTTTCAATATATCTTCTTGTTGTCTCTTTAAAAATCAAAATTGAAACTCCAATTTATTGACAACTTGTAATTGTCCTTTAATTCTCACAAGAACAATGGATTTCTCTCTTTGATGATGTTAATTGATAACTTTTGGTGTATGTGATGTAAATGAGATATGTATGAGAGGCATTCTGTTATTAGGTATTTGTAGGAGTCGAAAATTGGTTGAAAATTATGTCCAAATTGGATTTCAGAAGAGTTCCAATCGAATAAGGAAAATTGTCTTCCTGGTCGCATGTTTTTGCATCTGCACAGTCGTCAGTATTTTGGTTATAATTTTATCTCCCAATATTCGATTGAGACGATTCAAAGTGTGTTAGAAAAATAACTCAAAATACGACAACTTTGCTAGAAATATAACCTTTTCAATTTGAACGTCTACTATACCAAAAATGGGTCTCAATTTTCGGCTACAAATCTTGACTATAACTTGTGCGAATGGAAATTGATTTATGATAATATTTCGATCATATTTCATTTTTTTTTTTCTAATTGCATCCAATTGACTCATAACAATCTTTGATTATCGTCTTGTGGTCCGAATCAACAATTGAATTTGGTCCTCAAAATTTGGACTTAACTCCTTTTTGCTCATTTCTTCTAATTTCAAATACAATCACTACACCAAAAAAGACCTTTTGCAGCGGCCAAAAAACGCTGCGGTAGACCTTTTGCAGCGTTTTAGCGTGTGTTGCGGAGGTCAGTGTTGCCGTTGAGGGAAGACTTTTTGCAGCTTTTATTCACCGTTGCGAAAAACCCTTTTGCAGCGTTTTTTAAACGTTGCGGTAGACCATTTTGCAACGTTTTTTCAGCGTTGCGATAGACCTTTTTGCAGCGTTTTTTAAACGTTGCGGTAGACCCTTTTGCAGCGTTTTTTCAGCGTTGCGGTAAACCATTTTGCAACGTTTTTTCAGCGTTGCGGTAGACCCTTTTGCAGCGTTTTTTAAACGTTGCGGTATACCATTTTGCAACGTTTTTTCAGCGTTGCGGTAGACCTTTTTGTAACGTTTTTTCAGCGTTGCCTTAGACCTTTTGACAGCGTTTTTTAAACGTTGCAGTAGACCCTTTTGCAATTTTTTTCAACGTTGCCGTAGACCTTTTTTTTATTATTATTATTATACAGTTATATATGATAATTGACCGACAAAATTGAAAATGACAATTTGTGAACAAATTTTGAAATTGTATAAAAATTGATTATTTCATTACAAATATTTGAATCAATACAACATTAGAATGTAATACAATATAANCCTTTTGACAGCGTTTTTTAAACGTTGCAGTAGACCCTTTTGCAATTTTTTTCAACGTTGCCGTAGACCTTTTTTTTATTATTATTATTATACAGTTATATATGATAATTGACCGACAAAATTGAAAATGACACTTTGTGAACAAATTTTGAAATTGCATTAAAATTGATAATTTCATTACAAGATCTTCTCCAAGCAAGTGCCTTCAAGAGTATAGATAAAACAAATTCAAGAACTTCATAATAATCTTGGATACACATTTTTACGTACATAGAGACAGAGAAATAGACAAGGCATAAACACACACACAAATACACCAATAGCATGTGTGGTACTCTCGAAGAAAATGCTCGAAAAGCCAGGCTCTCAAAATGTTAATAGAACGTTCAGTGCCAAGCCCTCAAAATGTTAATAGAACGGTCAGGCAATCCTCTCTGGGGCCTCCAGGCTTCAGGATCCAGCATTCCCATGTGATGAAGGGATTTTTGTTGTCTAAACTTTTGTTCAAGCAGCTTAAGCTTTGGTGTGTCTCCCTTTGTCAACCCAATACTAATTGTAACATCATTTTCCCTAAGAATCTCACAAGGCTGCTTAAGCTGTGCAATTATTGCATCCTTTGTGCCCCATTTCCAATTACCAATTCAAAAAAATTCACCATTGCCTGCATTTGTTCGCAGTATCGTATGTATCTTCCATCTATCTGTTCCCACAAATAAACCACATTAGTTGACCAACACAACACATCGTCCATAAGTTTAAGCTATATATAGGCTAAACATGCTCCGTCATGGGCATAATTTTTATTAACGAGGGGCAATGAGAATTGAACTCAAGACTTGTGCCTACATACTACGATATTAAAATAAATTATATAGTCTAAAAAATTCAACACTTGTTACATTGGAAAACTACAAATAGCATATTTACCAACTCATAGTATGCAAAAGGTCTAATGATTAAGTTCAAGGAACATGACCAGCACAAAAGATAATGGTCCCCAAGTTAAGCAGAAGGGAAATAATTTTTTCTTAAGCAGAAGAATTTAATTAAGGATGTTCTTACAACCTCTACAGGAGGCATGTCGTTCTTCAAACGACATGTACGCTTATCAGAAGCTTGTCAGCATCAACATGGCTGAGAATAATTAATTACCATATTATACTAAATATTCGGTAAAGAAATGATAAATTTTGTTCTCAGTTTGGTAGGATATTCATGTCATTAGCTGGCTTCATATTGATTACAAAAACAAACAGAAAAGTTAGATAGAATTCTTACAGAGATTTGGTGTGCTGTGTGATTGCAGAGAGAGAGAGAGAGATACGTGCCGCATCAAGCATTGATAATAGCTTGATTTTTTTTCTCTGGTAATCGGCCCTTTCTGCTTGAGATAAAGGGTGGTGCTCCTTTGAGGATGAGGCCCCAGCACCACCCCTGCCACCTCCATCATACTTTCGATTTTCGCAGTAGTATCATCCCCACCGCTGCTGCTAGTTATCCAAGTAGATTGAGGTGGACGGTCCATATTAACCAAGGGAAATCCTTGAAGAGAAAAGTCTGATGAGTTGGGAAGTAACTTCTGGATTGAAGAAGATATAGGAGGAGAAGATGCTTTAACATGTGGAATCATAAAAGGAAGCTGCAATCAAAATTGATGAAAAATCACTTCACTAAGTGTTGTATAGAATATTATTATAATTACATGCTTCTTTTTTGCTAAACACACTCACCTCGGCCTCATGAACTTCAGCAGGAATTTGCAGCAAGTGCACACCCCTGTTAAGACCAGCAAGGAGCTTTACCCTTCTTTCAAACCAAAATTTACCAGCAAGTGCACACTCCTGTTAACTCCTTTAGACTTTAGTTAATGACCTAATAATTGGCTTCATAGGTTTCATCATGTCAAAGAATTTTGACAGTTTAGACACAAATCACAATGCATTATTGTTGGTGAAAAGAATCTTACTAAAGTAAATCATGGTGACAAATAAAAGCTCTTTCTCACCAGATGAGTATTAATCATACCAAAGTATATTTAATGGCTCATGTACAAAACTATAAAAATGTCCAACTCTTTGCAGCATGGATATCCAT